TTAGAGGTTGTCAGGAGGATATGATTTTAAACTGTGGTTATCCTTCAGAGTTATGTAATCTCAAGCATCAAAATGATTCTACTTAAATAACCATTGCCGTCCAATGGCCTGCAGGGTGTCCTATATACCTATATTTTTATGGCTCTTGCAGCATCTGTTAAGGAGTGGGGAAAGAACCGGCCAGCACCTAAAATATTTATTATTCCTTATTGAGCTTTACAAAGAATCTAGCATATCCTTTTACCTGTAGTGACCATCCGAGGCAACTGAAAAGTTAAGCCTCAAAACGTTCCAAACATGTGTAATCTCATGAGAACAAACTGCGTTTCAAGGGCAACAGCTAAGAGAGGGGCAGCTTAAACACACAACCCTACACCCTTCAATGGTGTTGCACCTTTTCAGAGAGCTACGGCCTTGTGATTTTGAGTTGAGGATACTCTTCAATGGTGTTGAATCTTTGAAGGGTTGTGCCTGTTAGTTGATCTGAAAGACTCTTCTCAAGCAACGGTTGAAACGAAAACCACCCTTTTACATCCTTCATCAAACTATGCAGATGACTCTTGGATACAAAATCACAGTTGAAGATGACGATGGCTTATATTGGCAAACTATCTCTCGGTTTGTAAGTCAAATGATATGTTGAATGAATTAAGACGCTATGAGATAAAATAAAAAAGTTCAGGGACCTATGAGAGTTTAAAAGACATTTGACAAACACTCTGTTCACAGGTCGGAAGGAAAAAACTTCCAACACCAAATGTTGGAAGCGACCAAAATGGGATGGCATCCTGAAAGTGACTCAAGTGGAGCCATGGCTAGAAATGGAAAATAATATGAAATCCATTTACATAACCAAATAGTACATTACATATATTGATACTTTCTACTTACCAATACAGAACTTGCCAAAAATATTGGACAAAACCTCTTCAGAGATATCCTCACCACTAATTTCCCCAAGAGCTAATACAGCACCTCTCAAATCCACTGTCCAAAAGTCAAGAGGCAGCTCCTCTTCAATGGAAGATTTCAATCTTCCAAGTGCCTCCTTGGTTCTAAGAAGCTGCTCGCATTGTCTCTGATTGTATGACCAAAACAACACTAACCCATAAGTTCTATATTGCTCAGTACTCTTTCTATCTTGTTTGGTGAGGGGAAGGTAGGAAAAGGTTACCTGGTTTACCGTCCATCTACGTCCAGTTGCAAGAGTATTGTTGAGTCCCATCAGCTCTGATATTGCCATCTCCAGATGCTCTATTCCTTGTCCAGTGACAGCGCATGTAAAAACTTGTTTACTGAAAGAGTCACGATTTATACTAATTGCATCCATGTTTGCAGCAGATGGAGCACAGTCTATCTTGTTTATGACAAGAAGTATAGGCGTGGATGATCCATCTGATTTCTGTACTTTCAAAGAATTTAAAAGAGAAGAAAACATAAGCACCAATTTTGATCAGCACAATTCATTGAAGGCAGAGGGTGGTAGGATTTTGCTGTCAAACCTTTTTTGCAAGTATGCTATCGAGAAGTATGGTATCTTCTTCAGTCCATCCATCGAGGGCACTTATAGTCATAATAATGACATCAGCTCCGAGCGCGGCAGCTTCAGATCTCTCGACACCTGTAGAACAGAGTAGGGACGTGACCAAGGAGTAGAGAACGTATGGTCGGGTTGCAACTCGAGAAGAATTAAGGGCAACTCAACGTATGGTCAAGTTGTCAATAAGAATTAAGGGAATGTATGGTCGGTGTAGGTTGAGTTACAACCTACACCGGCATGGTTTGTGTGACCTGCAATCAACTCGTTTCGGGAAAATAATCATATATCTGTATGGCACGATGCCAAATGTTTTGTCTAAACCCTCGAAATGCTGAAATTCGTAAATCATACCTATCTTTTCCACAATGTCATCTGTTTCCCTAATTCCAGCAGTATCAAGAAGAGTCACAGGAATACCAGAAACGGTAACATTCGCTTCAATTACATCCCTGGTAGTTCCAGCAATTTCTGTAACTATTGCCCTCTCGCTCTGCACACTAAATAATAAATGTGACAATGGAATAATGTGACTAAGAGTAAAAGAAAACCACTATATCAAACAGAAATTTCCACTATGAGGTTTGTAATCTTTTAGCATTTTTAAGAAGTTTACAATTTCTTTCTCCAAGAATGTAACAGCCCAAGCCACTACTAGTAGATATCATCCGCTCTGGCCCGTTACATATCGCCGTCAGCCTCACAATTTTAAAACGCATCTACTAGGGAGAGGTTTCCACACCCTTATAAGGAATGCTTCGTTCTCCTCCTCAACCGACGTGAGATCTCACAGACCATTACTGGTATGAAAGTAGTAACGCGGACCAAGATTTCTCAGTCACATATCACCAAATCTGGAAAGTGAAGCAAGAAATCCCTGTCTCCCTTGCAGTGATAAAGCAGTAGGTGATTTCAAGATTAAGTGAAAATACAACCACTCAACGGAAATAACAAGGAAAAAGAAAGAACTGACATGAAGATTATCGGATATCACGTCAGACTCACAGACAGAATAAATCATCTAAAGGAGTTCAAGTTGAAAGGGAAAACAAGGACGTTATGCAGCTTACTTTGCTCCATGCATTAAGAAGGCTCGACTTCCCAACATTAGGACGGCCAACAATTGCTATCTGCAAGTTTTTTAAGGAGACAACAGAAGGTATTAACAAATACACGCATCTCTTGTGCCAGGAAACAAACTGATTCGACGACTCTTAAAAGTTTACCTGTATTCCAGATTGAAGAAGCTTGTCATAATTGGCTGTCTCGAGAGCAGTCTCTACTTCCTGTGCCATGGCATGCACTTTTTCCATTATAGTTTCCAAATTCAACGGTGGCATCTCATCATCGAAGTCTAGTCGGGCCTCGATTTCAGTGAGTAATTCGATGCATTGTGTTCTTAGCAATTTGACTAAGGAAGAGAAGCCACCCTACCAAAATACAATATACTTAAGTAAACAACAAGCCGGCAGCCGTTCAGGCAACATTATCAGTCAAGTAAAGACCCCAACCTGAATTCCAGCCAACGCTGCATCAGCAGCAGCCGTAGACTTGGCTGAAATTAATTTCCCAACATTTTCGGCTTGTGAAAGGTCTAAGCGTCCATTTAAAAATGCACGAAGGGTAAATTCACCTAAAGTATAAATTCATGCGTTAGCCTATGCTTTAATTACATGGATGCAAGCAAACACTTCAGTGAATGTATAAAAATGAAAAGGGGGCACGTATATAGACCATGTAACGCTTAAGCCCACTGCTAGTAAATATTGTTCTCTTTGAGCTATCCGTTTTGGGCTTCCCCTCGAAGTGTTTACAACGTAGGGAGAGTATCCAAACTCTTATGAAGGGTATTTCTTTCTCTTCCCCAACTGATCTGATGTGGGATCTCACCATCCGGCCCCAAAGGGGCCAGTATCCTTGTTGGCACATTGCCTCATGTCCACCCCTTCGGGGCTCAACCTCCTCGCAGGGACTTCACTCAGTGTCTGGTGGGTGTTTTGTTCTACTCCCTAACCGATGTGGGATCTCACAATGAATTTAACGACTAAGCGATTCCAGTTCAGAAACAAACCTGGTTCTGCAAGCCGGGCTCCAGCTTCTAAACAAGCTTTTAGCACACGACGAAGACATACTTCACTTCCGTGACACTGAATCTCAATCACATCTTCACGAGTATAAGATCTTGGGGCTAACATTGGCACCGTCAAAACCTTCACAAAAGTGCACAATCACAGCTCAAATTAATCATAAACTAACAAAAGCCTACACCCATAACAGCATAACGCAGAATCGAGAAATTTTCCAAGCATAGCAAAGTAAACATTACTGTACTTCGTCAATTACATCGCCCTGTTGGTCCAATACCACACCGTACTCCACGACATGACTGGTGGGTCTCCATGGATGCTGCTGGCTCACATGCTTCCCCTTCTTTTTCGCGGCAGGGCAAAATAAACTCCCAACGATATTCACAGCACGAGGACCTGATAAACGCACAATGCCCACCGCAGCAGGAGGACCCCCCATGGACGTCACGATGGCTGCAATCGTGCTTGAAGTCTCAATTTGTTCACGCTCAATCCCGGCATGCGAATCCTCCAATCGCTCATCCCGAGTCAAAAAGAATGTAGTTTCTGCATTAAGAGAAACAAGAATGAGAAAATGGACAAACCCAGTAAAGCATACGTGAAAATAAGAATTGATTAGGGGAATGACCTTTCCCAGAAGCGTGGGACTTTATCAGGGATTTCGGGAGAACAGGGCAGGAGGGGTTGGGTATACGGAAGAGAGAGGATGGCCTGGAAATAGGGGTATAGAAATGGGTTAAGAGAAAAGGCATTGGCGGCGTGGTTCTGCAAAAATGGGTGATGAAATGGCGGAATCCGGGAAGCAGAGCCATAGCTCTGATTCGAAACCTGGACGACCAAAAGAATTAAGAGTGGTTTTTAAATGATAACGAAACGGAAAATATTTTATTTAATACTTTCACATATTTGTCACTTAATTTTTTTTTCTTTTTTTTTTTTTTAACTTTTGAGGATTTTAATTTTAATTTTCAATTTCGTGAATTTAAAAAATGTTTAATAGTTAATAAAATATTAGATATAAACCTAAAATTTAAGAATGTCTATTATATTTTTAAAAAATATATAATAAATCTCTAATCTTTCAATTTTGTATTAATAAATTTTTTATAAATTTAAAATATAGATAAAAAAATTTATGTTTAGTGAAACGTTTGATCTATTAAATTCATAAATTTTAAAAATATTAAAATTTAAGTATTATATTTATAATTTATCCTTAAATTTATGAAACATTTTTTTAAGTTTATTTATTTATTTATGTTTTATGAACATATTTATCTATAAAAAGAAAAGGAAAAAAGGGCATTATTATAAATATAATCTATAGATTTAATATTTACTTATTTCTTTTTATCATTATAATTAGCCATTAGCTTGTGTTTTTGGATTTGTTAGGATGTTAAAATAGACGAACGAAAACGACGCTCTCTAGTGGCAACATCCCCAACCCACCACTTCTCACTCATTCCATGTTTTTCCCTCTCTTCTCCTTGCGCCGGTTCTGCAAAATGAGGTGACTGAGAATTTGATGCTTTGATTTTTGATCCATGGTGGCCATTGACGAGACTGAGTTTCGAAGCAACATCTTACACGGTGATTTGATTGTCTACTGGTAGGTTCATTGCTTTTGAGTTTTTGTCTTGAGTTTCTAAATTGGAAGATTCTCTTAGCCTCCTGCTGATTTTTCAATCTGCAATTCAAATCATGTCTACATTTCTTGTCTGTGAAATTTGATTCTACGGAAGAAGAAGGTCTACTTAGAGAGGGAGGCTATTGAGTGAAGAATTTGGAAGCATCAGATCCGATAGCGCTAGTTTCTTCATCTTCTGCTGTTAGAGAAAGTTGTGGAAGTTGGCAGCCTTTTGAATCGTATGTATACATTCAAATAATATTCTTCCCGTGGATTAGGATGACGCTCAAAGAGCGAGAGATAAGAGGTACATTTTGAATCGCTCATAATTTTAATGTCTGAGTTTGTGTTGCACTTTGTTGAAACGCCATGCTAGAATTGTATTTAAAATTTCTGGTTTGAATTTTTTAGTTCGGGTATGTAGTTTGAGTAGTTTGTATCCAATTGCTTCATGTGAAAAGTTATACGAATCAAACTTGCCAATGTTTCTTTCTTACAAGAAGTGAGGGTTTAGAGATGCTAATTACCAGTTTTGCATCAAACTTTTGAGTTAAACGCTTTGATGTTTGAAATAATTGGATGTATTTTTGTTGGATTAACATACCATTTCGGTCCTTCTACCTTTTGCATATTCTTTTGTAATCATGTTAGCTTTTAAGTGTCTAAATTTAGCTATCATCCTTTGAATAAATCTAAAAAATAACCATCATTCTTCACGTGTACTTCGAATAAACAAATGTTAGCCTTAGATTAATATTGGTCAGATATAATTAACACGGTAACGACTAAACTCATTCAAGTTCATAAAAATGCTCCATGGATGAGAATTATAGGATGAGCAAAGATATAAGGGAAATCTTCTGGGGAAAATTGATCAGAAGAGCAGGCTTCTTCATTAAGTGTGGATATATACATAATGATGTTATTTAGAGACATTTCCGAAGTACAAAAAACCATCACCTTTTACTTTTAGCTTTATGAGAGAATACATTGTTGTGCGCTTCTTTTTTGTTCATTTTTTCTTTTCCCTGCAGCTGACTCAGGTACTGAATTAATCTTCAGGCATCTATTTAAAAAAAAAAAAACTGCTGCTTTGTAGCTGAGCAGGTATTCACTCCATTCTTCTTCCATTTCATGGCTACTTAACTGGAAGAACTAGCATTCAAATCTTAGACTAGACCCCTTCCACCAATTTTGGGGAGCAGGACGAAACAGCTTCAGCAACTGTTAGAAAGATATGGTCCTCGCCAATCAGATTAGCAAGATCGGATGCATGGAGTTTGTCAATCACTACAGGCCCGGGGTTTGCCAAAACTAGCTGTTCAACAACACCGCACAGACTTCTGGTTAGGCACATTTCCAAAACTTTACAGCACATATATATACCTCTACTGTCCATAACATTCGTAAGTAGTTGCTTTTTATTCTTGCGTGAATTACCTGAATGTCTCTTTTCTGGAGATTCCTGTATAGCTCTTCCAGGGCATGAATTCCGCTAGTGTCAATGTCGGTAACAGCTACAACAAATTAAAAAACCAGAATTTTGAGTTTGGAACACGGAAGAGTGTGATCTGATCTTAGGGTTGACTACTGTGCAGAATTATTCAAAAATATTTGTCAAGGTTGAGAGTACTTACGAGACATCTCAACAATCAAAAACTGAGTTTTTGTTGAATAAGCCTTCTTTATTTGCTCTTCCTCATCTGCCAACCATCTCAATATCCTGCGAGAAATCCCCAAGTACTATAAGGGCAAGAGTAACGAAAATGAAAGGGCAAGGGCTCCTGTAACTGCCATCCTACACTTTTCCAGACATACATCGAATCAAATGTGTAGCTAATAATTACGAAGTTAGAACCCGAGGTAGCAATTTGATTCAATAATATTTAGTTGGAAAATAACACAATTAGGATTTCTGAAGTAGGCAGTCCCTAGGAGAAACAAACTACGGAAAACTTGAAATACACAAGGGAAATATCTTTAACTGATTCTCCAATGCCTAAAGATATAGAAACCTAAGGGACAAAGTTGGGAGATTAACACTGATTGCCTAGATATGGATGAAACCAGAAATAGACCATTTTTAAAGATAGGGATCATCTTTACCTCTCTTTGATGTAATTGGAGTTAGAAAAGTAAATTGCAGAATCGACTCTCACAATGAGAATGCCCGGAACCCTTGTTGCTTCTGGATACTGTTGGGTGTTCCTGTATACTGTGGTCCTAGGGATCTTTCCAAGAATGGCAACCCGTGGCCTGGTTACTTGTAAGAGTATCTTAGCAAATGATATAGAGACCTGCCATAGCACATGAAAGTTAAGATTCAACATCTTTATGAGATTAAGCTAGCAATGAGAAAACTGATTAAGCTAGTAATGAGAGAACTTAAAGTAGCAGGCGTAGTTCTTACAGCAATTAGGAGGCCTGTCTCAACATTTGCAAATATCACACCAAAGAAGGCTCCCAAACAAGCAACAAAATCAAATTTATCTATCTTCCAAAGCAAAATTGCTGCCTGAATGTCAATTAAGTTGATCACAGCAGTGATAATGATGGCAGCTAGAATAGCATTCGGAGTGTACTTGAAAAGGGGAGTGATGAACTCTAGAGTTAGAAATACAACACAGGACATAACAATGTTTGAGACTGCAGTTTGGCAGCCAGACATGTAATTCACAGCTGAGCGAGAGAACGAGCCTGCAAGTAGGAAACAAACCTTATTAGTTAACATTTACCATTTAATGCTCCTACTTTAAGCCTTATTTAGATGGATACCACGAAGGAAACCATGCTACTACCTGCTTAGTTACTAGTTGAGACTACACTAATTTTGCTAAGAATTATGTAAATTCTACTGGTTAATGCTGACATCCAGACGAACTTGCCATCCAAACCTCTAATTTCTGAATGCTAGAGAACAACACTGCTGTTTTGAGATTGCTTTTTCCCCTAATATCTTAAGGGTGTGTTTGAAAATTATATCTAAAAAGCACTTTCAAGGTCTTTTGAAGAAAGCATTTAATTAGTGTTTTTGTTGGCAGAGTGTGATATTTGAAACACTATTCACATAAGCATTCCTGGATGACGCTAAGAAACATTTTCATACACGGTGGTATTATATTCAGTAAATAATATCAGTTAGATCAAATTAGCTCTAGCATCTTCCTGATTTGTAGTTGCTTCTCACCTGTTGCCACATAGCAGGAAGTCAGTGAACCAATAACGTTCATTGTTCCTAGTGCCACCATTTCTTTGTTACCATCAAGCTGGTAATCCTTCATGGAAGCAAATGTTCTTCCAATTGCTATGGCTTCCTGAAAAGAACGTGGATTTTCAAATAATATGGAAACATTCATTGGTTAGTTAAACAAAAATTAAAATCATTCACTTCTACTGCAAAGAAGATAGTTTCACGATTTGCTTACCGTTAATGCTATCATACCGGCCACAGCGCCAATCCTGAACCCTTTAAGGAGGTACTCACCAGTGAAGTAGATCTGCTTCACTGATGAGGGATTGATTCCTTTCTCTATGTGTTTCACCTTCAAAAGTTCAACAAAACTGCAACTATCAGAGCTGATGCTATTGTTATTATTATTCTTCTTTTCTTAGTGATAATCATATTTCAACCAGGAAAAAGAGTGATAAAAGATATCCTTACAATTGCGACACCTTTCTGGTCTGCATGGGTAATGTAAACAAAAAAGGTGGACAGAATGACTGATATTAATGGAGCAATTGCAGGCACCCAAAAAAGGCTCTTGTTCTTCTTTCCCTGAGATTGCAAACATGGAAGCTCTTCTAAATCCAAGAATAGAAACAGGAAAAGAGCTTACGTAAAAATTTGCACCAAGTAACAATGCCAAGTGAGATTCGTACAATATACTTGGCTAATAGAAGAAAACTTAGAAAAGCTATTCCAATGACTATCGTCTGCCAGTTCCACTGCAAATGGTCATGAAAGAAGTTAAAATACATGAGATTAGTTTGCATCAGTGACTCATTTATGTGCAAATAAGCACCATAGACATGTGAGGTTTGAGGTTGTAAGAAGGCTTACTCCATGATGCGCTGCCTCAAATACTGAGCGCATAACAGAGATGATGTCTGTTTTCTTTGTAAAATTTTTAATACCAAGAAAGCCTTTAAGTTGTTGAAGGGCAATAGTGATGGCAGCTCCACCCATAAAACCAACAATGGCAGCATGAGATAGAAAGTCAATCAGAAAACCCAACCTGTTGGCAAAAGTCCAAGGATTCATATTATTATCAAGGGTTTATACAGATGATCCCAAAATAGGCAGAATGCCATTTGAGGAAATCAGATTCTATTGGGGAGAAAAAAAAGGCACTCAACTACCTTAGCATCCCTAGAGTGGCTTGGGTGATCCCAGCAAAGAACGTAGCTGTAAATGCAAGCCGCAGATACGCTTCTGGATGTGTATGGTAATCAATCTCCTTTTGTAGCATTGTTCCCAGCAAGAGAGAAACAACAGCCACTGGTCCAATCGCTATGTCTCTAGAGCTACCCATCAAAGCATAAACCAGTGGTGGTACAAAGCTGGAGTCTGCAACAATTTGAAAAGTTGGATGAGGCTGGGAAAATCAAAGTAGAGCACTCAAAATCCGGAAGAGACTTGGTGCAAGAGGCATAATCAGTGCTTACATAAACCATACTGGGGAGCCAAATTAGCAAGTTTTGCATACCCTATATCCTGTAATATAAAAATTTGACATGATCAGACACTGTTTGTGTTTTTTTTTTTTTCTCTTTTCTTAGATTTGCATGCATATTAAAGCAGAGCTAGTTTACCTGTGGAATACAGAGACTTGCAATAGTGAGTCCAGCAATTATATCTCCTCTTAATTTTGTCAGATTGTAATTCCTCCCCCATTCAATTATCGGGAAGATAGCCTGAATTCCCAGGGCCAACTTTCGGGACTTCGATTGATCCTTGAAGGTTCGCAGAGGCTCATCTGCAAAGAAAGTCTCCTTCACTCGTGCTTTAAATTCGTTGAAGAAACCTTGCTTCGGTGGAACCCCCACCTTGTGAATATACTGAGTATTGTTGCGCGAAGATGAAAGGTCTCTAATGTCCATCTCTTTTGTTTCAAGTTCTCCACCATTGGAATGGCCCCTTGAGTCCATGGATAACTAGTTCACCTATGGCGACGAAAACACATAAGAAAAAAACAATGGAAGAGTTAAGTTTTCACTAGCAAATAAAGGTAGCTGAAGACCAAATGCAGCACGCAGTCAACTTCAATGTTATGAAGCTGGAAAAACTAAGTCTACCAAACATTCAATCGGTTTCGAGAAACAGTGTACTTGAGAAAATAGAACTCTACGACAAAGCTCAGACCTGCAAAAGATTTGGACAGCAAATCGTACAAGCAATGGTGGAGACTCTCAACTGAGTTTTATAGGCCAACTTCTTTATAATATAACATCTCGGGAGATTCCAAGTCAAACTTTTCAAGCTGAAACAGAAGGATGTTCAAAAAACAATTTCACTTTATATGTGGTGAATTTAAACGTCAAGAAGTACGTCAGGACTTTAGTTTAAACCGAAGTTTAAACCAGCAAAAGAGATCCACAAACCCATTCAATTGGTGTATACAAATATCAGCAGTGCTTGCATATGTGAGAGTTTCTGTTACAAGATTTCAAGTCAATAAAGAAATGTTGAAATTTCACCTAGTGAGCCAATCACAAACGAGTAGACCTTTGTGAAAGAGATCCATAAGAATCCTCTAAACCAGTTAGGCCCATGCGGACTTTTCTTCACAAGCTGTCTTGGTTTGCATTTGTCTAGTCTAGCAATTATTTTGAGGGGGTTTAATGTAGAGTTGAAGTAGCAAGCAAAAGTCAAACAATGGGACCAAATGTTCCAATTCAACGCAATGGTCGAAAGTAAGCCCTTCGATGAGGACAAATGACTAAAATACAAGCAATGGGGAATAACTTATGGAACCTTACATGCCAATGCCTAGCAGTATACCAAAATTTGAATAGAAATAGTATGTATTATTGTAGTAATAGAACATTTCCTTGGGAATATGCCTAAAATCCTCCTTCCCAAGAAACTGACTCCATCCTAAAATGGTAGGACCTGATGGGGTTGTCCCATATGCACTAAAATGCACCATCAAAAGCTCAAGACGTTCAAAAAACAACAAAGAGAGAGCAAATTGTAAGTCAAAACTCAAGAACATGGCCAACATTGCTGGGTTTGTAGCTGAATAATCAAGGGTAAAAAGAGCCTACCGGGTCTTATTTCCCTTCTTGTGCAAACCATCCATAGTGGAGTTCAAAATAGTTCATCAATATTGAGAGAAAACAAATAATAAAAGCTTTTGAGAAGTCAACTTGTTCCCTTCAATTCACACTTGGGCTCTTTTTCTCAGTCACGAAAACCATAAGGAAAAAAGTTGATGAAAGGAAAAAGTAACACTAAGTTCACCATTATTCTATTGAAAAGAAATGGAAAACGGGAAGAGGAAGAGATGTAAATGAAAAGGAAACATACCAATCCATAATCGTTGAAGTCCAGAATCTGTTTCCCACCTTTTTGTTCCCCACACTCGACGGCTTCTAGGGTTTCTTTTCCTAAACAAATTCGTAGCCAGTCCCAAGCTCACCCAATACCTGAAATTCCGTCCAGATTCAATGAAACAACAAATCCGCATTATCACAATTTGAAAATCCCGCTATTCTCCTGTAATCATCAAATCAGAGAGGGAGTTTCCATGTGTCGAGATCTTACCGCTCTGTTTGGCCGCCACGAAAACGCGCCCTTATTTCTCTGTGATACTCCCCATTCGTCGCTCCAAATCGAAACTAACGTTACGAAATTAGGGCGGGCTGCTGCTAAAACAGTCGCAGTGAATCCAAACAAATTGAGTCAAATCAGAGTTCATCTTTTCCCAAAAGTCAAACCTCTCCGAATGCGTTATTGGAAAACTGAACCAGTCGTGTGTTCGCTGACGATGAACTTGGACGTTTAAGCGGCCAGATTCCGGTTGAGTGGCTCGAAATGATGAATACGAACCGTCGGATGGTTGTAGATCACCAAATGTCGGCGTCATCGTGGTAGATCTGAGTATATTTGTTGATTTGTTGACGTTTTCATTCACATTGGCTTGAGATTTTGAAGTGTAAAAGGTTTCAGCGTTCCTTTTTTCGTTTGTTCGTTTGCTAGTGTATTCGAGCCATTTAAAAAAAATTAAAAAATACAAATGAAAATTTCTCCTCTCCTCCGTCTTTCTCCTCCATGGCTGAATCAACATCGAGAAGTTGCGTTGATCTTCGATAAGGAATCGACTGTGAGCGAGTCCGACACCGGCGGATCTCTAATCGTCATTGCTGTAGACATCAGAGAGAATGCGGAGACAGGGAGGGAGGAGAGAGATGGGAGGGCGAGAGAAATTATTATTATTATTATTATTTTATTTTTATTTTATTTTTTTGTATCAAATACATATTAGCCTTAAAAATATATATATAACAATAAATTTAGTTCCTAAATTTTTATGTTTGTAACTCTCAAATTCATGAAGTCATTATATGTTTAATCGATTATTAACATCTTTAATATTTTTAATTTAATTAATCATCTAAATTTAAACCAACTACTAAATTAAAATTTACATATTTATTATGAGTATTTTTAAAATTTAAAATTTAGATATTTATTAAATATAAAATTTTAGAATTATAATTTTATTAATAGAAGGCTAATACATCTTTAAATTATTTTCGTGTAATTATATTTGAACTTTTGAACATCCATTATATATATATATATATATATATATATATATATATATATATATATATATATATATATATTAAATAATACATGTTTTTTTGGTACATAAATTTCAAAAGCAAATGGGTTTGGGAAATCATTAATGAATCTCTAAAGTCTGAAGTCAAATAGTGCTTTTTTTAATTGAGTTTGAACCCACTTTTGGACATTGAACATACCAATAATTACCAATTTCCTAATAATGATGATAATAAAAGTCCAAGCAATATATTAGATTAGACTTGAGAAAATCTGGAAGAAAAAAAAAAAACTAATATGTGCAATAATTTCAAATGGGAGGGCCGAAAAGGAAGACCAAAATTATATCAAACTGGACGTTTACTTATAATTATGAATGAATGTTTAAATATTTAGGGTTTGATTAAAAAATTCTTTTTGAATGTGTTATAATAAGTTATAATGGTTGGAAAATAGTTTTATTTTGACTCAAAATAACAATTTAGCATTTTAAATTTTGTAAAATTTAAATTAAACTTTAGTATGTATAATTTATATTTATATTAAAATTTCAAATTATGAAAATACAAGAGTTAAAATATGTGACACATTCCAAAACAAAATTCAAATAAATATTTATCCTTTTAGAGAAAATTGAGGTGGTATTATAATATTTTGTCAATTTTATAAATTAAAGAAATTACATAACTGTTCTCATTGATATATATATATATATATATATATATATATTTTATAAATTAAAGAAATTACATAACTGTTCTCATTGATATATATATATATATATATATATATATATTATTATAAATTATAGATATGTTGAATTATTTTACATTTTATGAATTTTCAAGAATATCTTAAAATAAGATAGAAGATCCTTTTTCACCATAAAGATTTAGTTCTCATTTGTGTCCGATTTTATTTTCTATATTTTTATTTTACATAAAAAAAAAACAAAAACAAAAAAACTTTAAACTTTATTGAAAAACCTCATTTTCGACATTTTAAGTCTAACTCTTTGAATTCATAGATACAAAAGGAACAATAATGTAATGATGGTTAATAGCGCTGATTGTGAAGATTTTTAAGACTTAATTATTGTCAGTGTAGTTGATTATTTGACTAGAAATACATGTTCTCTTTTATTGGGTACAAAATAGGAGAGAGAGGCGAATGAAAATATTGAAGTAAATAGCAAGAAAATTGAATAAATTAGGCATAGAATATGAAATGAAGACCTCGGCATTTAGGGATATGGGCACCACTTCGAGAATCAAGGTTCATAGAATGTTGGGGAGTAGTACGCCCGGTTTAACTTTGCGACTTACTTTCAATTGCTGGGGGTGCTCTCTGTCAATCTGTTCACTTGCTTGTAGCTTTCCCTACTAGAACGGTCTGGCTGTCGAATAATTGCCTAGGTTGAGGAGAGAATTGAAAGTAGAAAACTCGAGAAGGTAGCATTGAACAAAAAAGAAAACACATATGTTAAAGGTTTCATTCATAGTGTCTTCTTGTGCACACGCCCTAAAGGACACCCACATGAGATCCTTATGTACGTACTTGTCCTTCTTGTCGTGCCACCTCACAATCATGAGGATGTTCATCACTCACCGGTGCTTCTCTCCAGATATGCCGTTGGCATCCTTTATTTTACCACCTTGGCCTTGTATGTTTACTTCACGTTGACCCATACACTATATGAAAGTGTAATGACTTGAACTTTTAACTTCTTAGTTTATAACGGTTGAATAATAAAAGTCCTACATCAGTTAATTTAGAGAATGATCATGAATTTATAATAAAAAAAAGTACTCTATCCATTAGTATAGGTCTTTCGGGGAAGCCCATAGCGATAAAAACTTTATGGTACATTGTATCGTAGAGCGTTGTTTTCATCTAAACATGACTGGCAATTATTATTATTTTTTTAATTACTCATAATAATAAAATGAAAGGTTTTTAAAAGAATAAAATTTAAAATAGATTAGAACTAAAAACGGGGAAGTATACGAATATATGGATTTTTTACGTCTCTCCGATTCCCCGCGAATAGAACAGAGGTTGAAGCAGCAATTCATTAGGAGTCTGCAAAATGGGGGCAGAAGAAGCAGCCATGGAACAAGAGAAGCTCGCATCTCGGAATCCAAGGACGATTCCGATCACAGAGACTCAGTTCCTATCCTGGAAGAGGCAGAAGGTACACTTTCCCTTCTTCATCGATCTATCTCAGGCTTCGCTTAGGGTTTCTTTTAGGTGTCAATTACTTGTATTTCGTGCCAAAGCCTGTAAAATTAGAGAATTAGGGCTGCGTGAGATGATTATTGTGAATTTGAAAACCTCTAGGATTCATTCAGTTTAGAAAGGTATTGAAGAATTTGCTGAATAGTTTCTTGCATACATCGCATGCCAAACATCACTGTCATTTGACATAAAACAATGAATGAAGATCATTGAATGAAGCCACGGTATTTAACCTTCCCAAATAAGGCAATCAAGCAAAGAACCTAATCTTCTATAGATTCTTACAGATTATGGAGAGGAATGAGGGGACTGGAGGATTGGGTTCAGACAGTATACAGGAAAGAAGAAACTTCATAGAGAACATTCCTGAAGGCTCAAGAGTCCATTTATGACGATCGTTTAAAGTTGGGGATAGGCAAACTTCTAGTGCAACAAAAAGGAGATTAGCCAAATCTTGAGATTCATGATCATTAAGGGGCTTCTAAAATGAAAAATCATAATCTTTAAGGAGAGTAGAAGAACTGTGACTATAAGGATTAAAATAGAATGGAATAGTACCTCATTTTGAAGGGAAAATAAAGTGGGGTAGAACAATTTGGAAAGAATTATTTCCGATCCTGAAGTCCTACGAGAAATGAACATGAGTCCCATTGCCGGTGGAAATTTTAATGAAATTGTTAAGGAAGGGGATTATTGAAATTCTGCTAGAAAATACTTGCAATATGTAAGCGGCTATCATTAGATTTGGAGGCTATTAATGTTCTAATTCACGTGTTTCAACAATCGACAGTGACACGGAATGCAGGTTCGATTTTGTTCGAGTCAACTGACCTGAAAGGAAACTCAACCATTCCACCAGTCTTTTATAAGGCGATTTGTGTGTCACTGAAGTCTGAAGCTAATGAGTTGTTGATGTTTGACATCTATCTCCAACCATCTTCTCTTATTTGCAGGATGCTGAGGCATCTGCAAAGAGAGATGAAACAGCAAGGAAGCGTGCGGATGATATAGCCTCAGGAGCAGTGCAAATGAATGGGCGAGAGCTTTTCTTGCACCAACCATGGGTTTTTGATAATTCTCAATATTGAGGTTGGTTTTAGATGGAAACATTGTGGTGCTACGCTTTGTGGTCTCTTGAGATATTGGTCTTTTACTTTAAAATGTTACCTTGTATTTTATTTGACTTTCATTGCTCATACGAGTCGGTAGTCCTTCAGCCCAAAATTTTTATTCTCTTTGGCCATAGTAGCTGTATATGAATCTGTGTAGGTTTCATGCATGGTAAAATCCGTACAAATTTTTTTGAATTGGACCAATATACAATTTAGGTGCTGATTTGTCCTATGCTGTTGGCCTAAAACGACTTTATGGAATGCATTTGTCTTCTCCAGTTTACAAATCACGTGTAAATAAATGTTATGTTGCCTTCTACAATAGGTCCTTACATGATGAAATCTTTTTCATAAGGACATCATGGTTTTAGCCGCTAGCATATTCAGCGCTAAGTAAATTTCAGTCCCTAATGCCAAATTATCTTATGAATCCCAGATGCGTGGTTAATGCATTCTAATATGAAGAGGATAAATTAACCCCTATGGGTTGATGCCATGGTCAATAAGGGGCATGTAAATAATAAAAGACTCCCGAGGGAATTGGTACAAACTATAGGTTACGTATCTAGAGTTTAATATCCTACAAGTCACCTTAGTAGCTGAACATTGTAGTACTGTTAAACGACTGCCTTGTTAGATTACTTGAGGTGTACCTAAGATAGCAATTTATCGACACTAACCCAAATCATAATGCAAGATCCTTGAGTGAATTGACCATCTGATTTACAAAAAGGGAATGACCTCTTTTTTCAAGGGTTGATTATTTATATCCTCACTCATGGCTTTGAAGATTGGTACAAATGAAATGATGCTATGAGTTCGAATACAAGGCTTCCTGGTAGCATGGATTAAGTCTAGGTGTAGTTATGCATTTACTATTTCAACACATTCTTAGACATTTTCATGGGCTAGAAGAAAGGTGATTTTTTTTGTTTATACAATGACATCCATCCCTGATGAACAGAGGCATGCCCATATTAAATAAGGGGAAAAGTGGTTGAAGGCCCACCGAGTGAATGACCTTATCTGATCGTCAACCCAAAAGAGAGAGGATTAGCCTCACCGAGTTTAGGTAGCAGCCTGGATAAGCAGGAGTGGCTCTTGCACTTCCAGACACACAAAAGAAACAAAAAGGCATATAAGGGAAGGGGCCCTGTTTGGACCAACCCATATTTGCTGGTCCACACGAACATTTGATCAAAAAGGGGAATTTGCTACATGAAATCCTAGCGGAATCCTCTCTCTTTCTCTGAAGAATTTCTTGCCTTTCCTTCAAGGGATCTTTATCCACTTCATTTTACTTCTTTTCAGGAATGGCTTGGACCCTGTCTGATTAAGAATATTTGATCAGAAATATGCCCTTTAACTTTAGGTTATTCTTTATTCTAGGTGCATGGGATTGGGATGAGCTAGAATCTAAACCCCGTACAAGACAAAAGTCACCGACCTCCTTTCAGTTTTGATTTTGATTCTACTTTGTCGGAGATACTTCTTTAATTCTTATATACAAAAATTGCACAAACTATTAGTTTGATACAATTATATCTATAAACTTTGGATTATGGATTTGTTATAATTATACCGTGATTTTTTAATTTGATCTAGCATCCATGTAATTTGTTTGTATTGCAATTACCCCTCTTGTTAGTAGCGAACATGAAATCAAAGAAACATATAGTGTTATTATGTAGTGGGATAGTACAGTGCAGAGAATATTGGGATATTAATAGTTGATTGAAGGGTAAATTAGCGGCTACATGATAGAGCAAGCGTAGGGATTGTCATCACTAAACATTCGGACATAGTTTTCATTGACAAGAGTCTCTGTAATGGTGGCTGTGTTGGGAACACTCCGAACCATGTTTGGAGGAGCCTTCTTGTCGTATGAGGCTGAGATATAAGGATATGGCTCCAATGAAACTGGAACGTAAGGCCACATCTCCACCTTCTTCTTCGTTGCTTGTGCTGCCTTCAGCACCTTCTTTGGCTCTATGTAGCCTGTCACTGTTACCTTCATCTGCTTCACATCCACGTCCACTTGCTTAGCCCCTGCAACCAACCCCATTCAACCATACCACGTTCTTAAGTTTTATAACCATCATTAGTTAGCATAGTGGCCATTGTTGGGCTAGTAAGAAAGTAGGTGTCGAGTTCAAATCGAATGAGATTAGTTGAGATGTGTGCAAACCGTTTGGAGACTCGATGATATTAGAAAGTCTCTGAGAGATTTTTTATCAAGGGGGTTTATATATACTATGTTAGTTGAGATTTTTTATCAAGAAAGTAGATGTCGAGTTCAAATCGAATGATATTAGTTGAGATTTTTTATCAAGGGGTTTTTATCAAGGGGGTTTATATATACTATGTTAACTCACTATTTAACTCGAAAGCTTATGTGTACCTTTTACACGAGACATGATTTGCTTCATCTTCCGACCGCAGCCCTCGCAGTCCATTCGAACCTTTAAAGATACAGTTTGCATCTGCTTCTTCTTCTTCCTGTGCTTGTAAATCAAATTGGAGAAGTACTCCCATGTGCCTTCAACTCCCATTTTGTTCAGCTTCCTGTTTCCTGTTCTTTGCTAACTACTTATCTGGGAAGATTGGTGGGAAAATGATGTGTAGGAAAATCAATGGCTTTGAAAGCTTGGCCTCCTCTTGAACAAGTTCAGGGTTTATGTAATTCTCTGGAACTGCCCTTCCCTCTTCTTATAAGTAGTTATGCAGGCACTCAGTTGAAAAGATGACGGGAGTTTTGCATCCAAAGTAGTACTTTTTTTCCTTCTGGTTTATTCAGAAAATGGTTCAATTCTTCGTGTATAAGAAAAGGTGGAAGTAAGGACAAAGTTAAAAGCTAGAGAGCCAATGGCTTCCGATAGGGACTATTTGTAACGGCTCAATCCCACCATTAGCAAATATTGTCTTTTTTGGGACTTTCCTTTTTGGACTTTCACTCAAGATTTTTAAACGGTGTCTGTTAAGGATAGGTTTTCTTTCATACCCTTATGAATAATGCTTCGTTCTCTTCCCCAACCGACGTGGGATCTCACAATCCACCCTCTTTTGGGTTCCAACGTCCTTTCTAGAACACCAACTCGTGTCCACTCTCTTCGAGGCTCAGCCTCCTCGCTGGCACATTGCCCCGTATCTGGCTCTGATACCATTTGTAACTACCTAAGCCGCTAGCAGATATTGTCATTTTTGGGCTTTCCTTTTCGAGTTTTCCCTCAAAGTTTTTAAAACGTATATGTTAGAGAGAGGTTTCCACACCCTTATAAAGAATGTTTCGTTCTCTTCCCCAACCAATGTGGGATCTCACAGCCTTAGAACGTTTCGATCATTCATCTATATCCATATATCTCTACAAGAATATGTATGTATTATGACATGGATCAAAAACTGCCACGTTCCATTGATTATCATCCACGTGGATAATCCAACGGTAGATGGAGAGCCCACATGGCAACCAAAGAGTTCAAAGGGAGCTGGTGCAGGTAGTTGTAGTACGAATTGGTTGCTATATTATCCTATCTCTCTATCATATTATTAATATTGAAAACTTTCAACTCCTTGCCTGTTCGAAAGGAATAGTGAGAGTGATTGGGCGGTGGGAATTTAGAAAGAAAGGAAAAGAAAAAAAGAAGTATAAAAGGAATATACAAAGGCATACCCAAATGAATGACTAGTTGTAGCTGCTTTGCAAGGTGGCAACAATTTGGAATATGGCTTCAAAACTTGCATTTTCTTTCCCCTCCGATGATTGCTGGCTTTAGATTTCCCTGTTGGTGTGGATCTTAATTGATGAAAACTAAGTTTTTGCCTTCTTCTATGTCATGTCTTGTCTTTACAGATTAGAATTTGGAGGGCTTACAACTAATTAGGGATAAGTCCCCACAGTTTTGTTTCATTTCTGCAAATTATTGTGTTTCTAGAGACCTCTATAATGGTAGCTACTCACTTGTTCTTTTTTTGGTTTAAATATTAATTTGGTCCCTTTCTTTAGTGACTACTTTTTCAAAGGGTCGGCTGGACACAGGAGTTTTAGGCCATGCATGGATTTGTCGTCAAAATCACCTTTGTTAACCCGTTTTCTTCTATTCAAGAAGGTACTTTCAAAATGTTCATTTTAGTAAAGTTACTTCATTTTCATTTTGATGGGATTGTATTGATTGTTTGACTACAATGGACTTTTTGTGTGAGACCCATATCGAGTGGAGAGGGGGTGGAAAATTTCTCTAGTAGACACGTTTTTAAAAACAGTGAGGTTGACGGCGATAAGTAACGGGCCAAAGTGGATAATATTTACTAGCGGTAGGTTTGGATAGTTATAAATGGTATTAGAACGAGACACTGGGTGGTGTGCCAGTGAGGACGTTGGGCTCCCAAGGAGGGGTGGATTGTGAGACCCACTTCTGGAGAGAGGATTGAAGTATTTCTTATAAAGGTGTGAAAACCATTCGTTGGGCTCCCAAGAGAGTGGATTGTGAGATCCACTTCTGGAAAGAGGATTAAAGTATTTCTTATAAGGGTGTGAAAACCATTCCTTGAGCTCCCAAGGAGGTGGATTGTGAGACCCACTTCTAGGATTGAAGCATTTCTTATAAAAGTGTGAAAAAATGAGGTAGATTGTGAGACTCACTTCTAGAGAGAGGATTGAAGCATTTCTTATAAAAGTGTGAAAATCATTCCCTAATAAACGCTTTTTAAAAATTGAGAGGTTGGCGACTATACGTAACAAGCCAAAGCAAACAATATCTACTAACGGTGGGCTTGGGCTGTTACATTTTGAAAGTATAAATACTAAAATAAACCAAAGTCGGAAAGTACATCAACTAAAGTTGTAATTCAACACATTTTTTTAGTTCAATTTTTGCTTCTTTGTTAGATAATCTTGAGGCCATATTGGTATTTGCCTTAGTCTTAAGAAGTTGAACCTGTATATATTTTAACATAAATAATTCCTGCCATGTTCGTATCCTTACATTTTTTAAAATAACACGTCACTATGTTTATATCGTGTCACATCCAAATATTCAATGTGGCTTTGTCACACTTCGTTGGAATCTCTGTATGGGCAAAAGGAGGTTCTTGTGTCTTGAGATTTTTCAGACTTCATACGACGTCGTTTAAATGAAACTTAAAAGCAGTTGAATGGGCCATAAAAAAGGAAAGCCCATTATCAAAGAAGGCCCATTAATATTTCAATGAAGCCATGGAAAAAGCCCAATTTTATTGACATGCAAGTGACCCTTAAATTATAAACCCTAATAATCCAGTCCCGCCACTTCGTGCTAGGGCAGGTATGCTTCAAACCCTAATTTGACACAAATTATTATTATTATTTTTTTTCATTACATCCGACGACTTCGATTGTTTTCATTTCTGATTCTTTCTGTTTCATCTTCCCTTTAAGGATTTTGTACTCCTTTTGAGAAGCGACAATGGCGCCGGCGAAGAAGACTGTAAGTGTTACTCTGACGGTGCATAAATATTGCATTTCCAATTACTTCAGTGATAATGGTTTTGATAATCTGTGGTGTTGTAATTGCAGAAGAAGACTCATGAGAGCATTAACAACAGGCTCGCCCTTGTGATGAAGAGCGGCAAGTACACACTGGGGTACAAAACCGTTCTTCGCACTATCCGCAGCTCCAAAGGTCTTCGTCCGTCGTTTTCCCTTTCCAAGAAACCTTGTTTATTCGAATTTATATTTTATTTCCGTTTTTCTTTTTTTTTTTGACATTTTTCTGTTTTTCGATCTGTTTACAGGAAAGCTTATTATTCTATCGAACAACTGCCCGCCTCTGCGTAAATCCGAAATTGAATACTACGCAATGCTTGCCAAAATTGGGGTTCACCACTATAACGGAAGTAAGTATAGTAGAGCTTAAGCAGGATTTTTCTGCTTTATTGTATTTGGAGCTTCATATGCATGATTTCCGATATATGGGATAGAATTGCGCTCATTGCTTGTATTGCGTTTCGTTTTTTACTTTTGTAGTATAAGAAATGACAGGCTGTCTTCATCTCAACTCCGTATTGGAGGTTGATTATTGTATATCTGGACAAGGACTTGCTGTGTTTGTAAATGTTGTTTGATTGTATATTTGAGTAACTCGATCGATTACGTAATGGGTGGGTGCTCATAATGGGTTTCCATGTTCGGGATAAACGAATTTGATATTCAATGTGTAGTTCGTCCTTGCTAGTTTCATACATTCTTATTGATTTGCTACCATTGTCTTCTACAGTTGTTTTCACCTTTGGTATATAGTTATTGAATAAAATAGGTGGGTTGCTTCCATTGGCAGTAATTGGTTCTTCTGACTCATAATATGGATGTGTCAATGCACAAAACTCAGCTCAAGGCTCGGGTTGATCGCCTCAAAGTGATAGGTGATGCCTGAGTGAAGTGAGGTGCAATGAGTAAATAAATAAATAAATAAATAAATAGTATGGAGATCATAAATTTATATAAATATAGTCATGAAATGTCAAAGCTTTAAAAATTAATACTAAATTGTAAAAATATCCAAATGTCAAAATTATCCAATAATAATCAAGTGATGAGTAAGTTTGATTTTTCCTATTTTGTTGGGCCTTTTATCGTGGGCTCTTATACTTAGTTCCATTGGTTATAATGCTAAGAAAGAAAAGGAAATAGCGTTAATTGAATCATGTGCGCGCCTTCAACCACGGGGAAGGTGACGCAGGGCAACCACAAGTTTAGTGGGGGGAGTGCTGGATTGAAGTCGCTTGCCCCAGCTGCTTACAAGGCCCAACGGCCTCAGGTTGCCTTGCCCTTAACCATAGGCGAGCACCTGGTTTGCCTCAACAACACTAGTTTTTCCATCCCTTTTGTCCATCTTGTTTGAAGAATTGTCAATTAATTAGTGTTAGTATGCTCGTTCAGTCTGCTTTTACCTTCTATGTATTTTTATGTACGTTTTTAGTATTTTTTTTGTTTCTTCTGTCTTATTTATTTTTGTTATTTGGGTGTATATTTAGGTAATGTTGATCTTGGAACTGCTTGTGGCAAGTATTACCGCGTCTCCTGCCTCAGCATCATTGACCCAGGTACTACAAATTTTATTATTTGGTTTATCGAATTTCATTTTTATGTTGTTAGGACGGTCTCTAATTTTCAGTTCTTGAAGTTTGTATAAACTCTTAAACAAAAACTTGATAGGATCGCAGTTAGGTGTCCGGTTTTTAACTTGATACAAATTTTATTATGTGTGTGAATATTTCTGCGGACAAAGGTTTGAGAGAACACATGCAGTTTGGTGTTGAGTTTTGAAATATATTAAACTTTTTTGTTATATGATTAATAAGAAAACTAGCTTTTATGGTCGAAGTTCAGAATGCTACACTTAGAAATTTGGCACTAAATCAAAACATTTGTAAGTATAGATATAAAAGAGAATGATGTAAAACTTTCAGCTGCCTAATACTTGTTTTTCAATGAGGGGTTTTATTACCTATTCTCCTGCTGCTCTATTCTTTTCCAGGTGATTCGGATATTATCAAATCGCTTCCAGGTGATCAGTGATTATTGTACCCTGTAGAACTTAGTTTCTTTCTTTCTTTCTTTCTTTTTTTTTTGTTTTTTGTTTTTTGTTGCACATTTTCTCTTCAGCTAATGCTAGAATTTTGCATCGATTATTATGTCCTCAGAATAGCTTCCTACTTTCTGCATTAAAAAAATTTATGTTGATAACTTGATTTTGTCAATGTCCTTGAGGTTTTGTTTAGTCGAGACGTGGTTTTGAGTAGAATGTTAAAGTAGTTTTACATCTATTACTTATATCTGAACAATTATGAATTCAGAATGTCTTTGCCTTTTGGATTAGCAAGGCATTTACGTTTTGAATTTACAAGGCTTTTTAGTTTAGCAATGTGGAGTAAGAATCAAACATTTGATCAGCTGCCTCTGAGATTGCTTAATCTCAGGGTAAGCCTGAGGAGTTGTTTGACGTCATAGCTTGGTTATATCATTTATTTCTCATTATGTTGATTTTTTATTCTGAAAATTTTGAATTCAATACTTTCTGAAACTTCTGGAGTGAATCAATTTAGTTTTCCAAGATCTTGTTACAAAAATGGATGATTTTTACATGTTTTCAAAACTTCTATGTTTGAATTTTGTGGGCAAGAGTGATTTTTTCCTAGTTCTTTTAGATTTACCTAACAATTTTCCTTTGGATTGTGATGAATACTTCGAAGAAGATTATGATATTATTTAGATAATTTTGAGTTAGGTTTTAATGAAATCAAGTGAATTGTTTCAAATTATTCATAGATGGTTCAAATGGATTCATTGATACAATTATGCGATGAATGTCATTTGATTTAATCTACCAAATATAAAAAATAAACTTTGTCCAAAAAACATGTAGAGGGAAGAAATTTTAATTATTAATTAAAATCATTTATTTTTTGTATTATCAAAATATTCATTTTAGGTTTTAGGTGTTTTATCTCTTATCATTAATATTTGTATGACACCAATCTAATTTCCTAGGATTGCTATAATATGGTTTTACCCACTTCTCCATTCATTTTAAATATTGATCATGTAACGTCATGAGCATCAAGATGTTGAAGTTTGGAATTCGATTCGAAGTGAAATTTGATTGTGTGAGCGGGAAGTTGAGTTATGTTTATTTCTATGAATACTAAGTCTTGCTTTGCTTTCAAGCTCTCCTTGAATCAATTCCTCATTGGATATTTCTTTTCTTGAGTTTCTTCTTATCCCTTTTTTTAGTTTTCTTTTTATTTTTTGAAAATGCTAAAAAAGAAAACCGAACAAGAAAAAACGCGGCAAATATTAAAAAGAAAATAATTAAAAATAACTGATTTCAAATTGCGTGTCTCCTTGATAACCACCGCGGAAGAAACGTCGCCATTTTATCTTTCACTCAAATTCAACCAGAGATATAGAGAGAGAGAGATGTTGAAGAAGAGGCGGAGATCAAAGGCCGTTTCGGAGTTCTGGAAGCTCTCCATTGCCGCCGATGACTTCCACCTTCCATCCTCGCCGTCGTGTAAGTTTTTCCTTGCCTTCTAACTTTCTTTTCAATTGTTTTTGAGATATCACTGTCTTCACACGAACTTGTTTCGAATTCCACTCTCCGTTTCGATTCATTCAAGATTTATGCATGATTTGTATTCATCCCGCGATTAACTCCTAAGACTTCGACTACCTAATCGGATAATCATCATACAGATTCGAAAAGATTAAAAAAGAAGAAAAATCCTAACGGATCCACTGCTTCGTGTTGAATTTCGAGTATCTTCTTCCTTTGGCGACAGATGTCTCCCCTTTTTATTCATCTCACTTCGCTTTTTTCTGCGATCAACTTCTTTTTCAAATAAAGAATCATTCGCTTAAAATCTTATTTTATTATCCCTTGGACAAGACAAAACTAGGAATTTAAAGTTCAACTTCCCCGTCGTCTAGATCTCCTTCAATGGAGGATGAATTTCAGGTTGCAGTTGAAAATTTGGTGCTTAAAATTAATGGCAAGCACAAGGCGTTATGAATTGCGCGAGGGCGTGAGTTGTATTGTTTCTGCGACATTGAAGCAAATACGTGGTGCAAATTTGTAGCCCACGTACGCTTCCAAATGTTGAAAAACTAGCCTCAACTCTCTTTCGAAGTGTCCTGAGTACCAAAAATCCTCAAATTCCTGTTTATTGCATTTACCGTCCTTCCAATTCAATGACACATTTTTACTTAACTTATTTCACTCACTCCCCCCATCTTTTGGGCTCGCATTTAAATTTTTTCAAGGGATCCGTTTCTTCATATAAACCGGAGAGCCCTTCCTTTGTTACTATATATATATACCCCCATTTCTCCACTTCTTCACAACACATCCCCATTCCTTCCATCACCCCTCCCCCTTCTCTCTCTCTCTCTGTTGATTGAAAATTTGAAATCCCCCATTTGAACAATTCACTATGCAGAGCAATAAGGTATCCTCCCTTGTCCCTAGCGATATCAACAGCGATGATTACATAGGCGTGGAGAGTTGTGTCGATTTAAAAGACAACGACACGGCAGCCGACATAACTCCCCTGGCGAGCTTCCCCGAGGGAGGAAATAGCAAGAGGGACATCAAAACGTCGTGGATGGGGAGGAAAGATCAGAAAAACTATCCCCCACCAATCCCGTTATTGGTTCGCACTGAGAATCTGGGTTCCCACATACCATGGGTGATGAAACGGCAGTACACAGGCGATGGACGGCTCATACTGACAGAGGAGAAAGTGAAACACCACGAGTTCTTCCGTGCCCACAGATCCGATGGACGCCTGATGCTACAGCTGGTGACCATGGACGACCAGGAGTTGGATGAGGACGGCGATGAGGAGGAGAAGAAGGAGGAGTGCACGGAGGCGGGAGGGAGTGAAGAAGGGGGAAAATGGTGTAAGTATGAGAACGTAAGAGACAGAGATGCAGCGTTTATGTTCGGAGTGGAAGTGGGTGCAGGAAGCTTGAGGAGTGTTCGAGGGTAATGAAATGTGTCAGCAACAACAGCAGCAGCAGCAGCAGCACAGCCAGCAGCAGCGTGGAGAATAGGATTTTAGTTGAAGCGAAATAGTTATGGTGTGTTTGGGAGTTTAGGTCCGGTTTTTAGAGTGTTAGTTAGTTTGGTTCTCCTATAAAATAAAGTAATAATAATATGAAGGGCAGAGAGATATCAATTTCCAAATTAAAGACCCCATCTTTTGGTTTTCTCCATCTCTGATTCGGTTGAAAGGGATGAGTCAATTCATCAGAGCATTGGGTACAGCTATCTATCTATATCCATCCATCCATCCATCCATCCATCCCAGATTGTCAGTCCTTCCTTATCATTGGCCTTATTAACCATTCAAAATCCATTGAACATTAAAAAAGAATTAATAAAGAATTAAAGAGTCAAACATATAGATTTTAATATATGAGGTGGAAATGAGAGGGAGATGAACAGAGTGTGAAGTATAACGAGGAAACAGACAGGAATAGAGCTGTCGCAATAACCAGAAATATCTGCAGAGTGAAAGGAGATAATTATTTATTTGAATGATTATATAAATATATTACAACCGTTTCATTGGAAAGAAGATGAAAGTAGCGGTGGGAAATTTGACACACCCACTTCTTTTCTCTCCAAAACTAACCAACTTCCTTTTCTCCCTTAATTAATGTCATAATTTTCGGAATGCCACCCAAATTCTCATTTAAGTGTTTTTAATTATTATTATTATTATTTTTAATAAAAATAATAATTTAATCGATCATAGTTATAATTTAAGAAGGTTTAAATCTGAAAATGAGAAATAAAATATATATATATTGGAAAATGGAAGTGGGCCCGGAATATTGAGTTTGAATGCTGCATGGGAACAAAATATGAGTTGTACTGTTCACTAAAACCCAACCGCATGCTTCGCTTTTTCACAACGTGTACACCTTTTGTTTATTATCATTATTATTTTTTTTTTTGTTTTGAAAAAATAATAATAATAAAGGTTTTATTGTATTTAAGGCTTGTATATATATCACCAAATTTTCATTTTACTCCATATTTTTAAAAATAAAATAAATAGCAAACAGAGTGTGAATAATCTGTTTACAAGTGGGTAATTAAAGTTATTTTTATAATTATTTTAACCGCTTAAAAATCTTGTCGAGTGAAGGTGAAGAAGGTATATTTTTAGAGATTTTTGTTACTCATTTCATTCCCGCCATGGCTAGGGTTTGGGAGGGAAAAGGAAAACCCTGTTTCCAATAAAACGAACCAAACAATCCGCCATGGATTATTTCTCCACCAAACGCTACTTGTTTTGCAGGCTTAAGATAATCGTTTCATCGTTCTTCGGCTTCCTTCTCCACGCATCCAGTTTTAGGTTCCCCATGCAAATGCCAATTCAAAAGCAAGGTCCAGTTGTCGAAGCAGTACGGTTTTCTATTTCTGGACTCAAAGCGCTAATTTCTTCTCAAGAAGAACATCAGGAAGTTGGACAAGAAAAGGAAGATCGCGTCATTCGCAGTTTTGGCATCGGCATTATTACCTCAAAGCTGTTGACTCCTTCTTCTTCTTCTTCTTCGATTGGATCTTGTAATTTGTTAATGGACGATTTGATTGGGACTGAGAGCGGCGTTTCCTTGACTGAGAATACGGAGGAAACCGAAGAGAAATTAACTCACGCCTATTTCGATCGTCCTCATAATTGTACCAATCTCCACGGTTTTACCGAGCAAAATCAGCGATGTGTGCCGAAAAAGCAGTTTCCACCGCCAATTCCTTCTCTAGCTACACAGGCAGGGCAACGAACGCGGTCGCCATGGATTTTAACAAGATATTACTCCGATAGAAGGTTGATTTTGAAACTCGAAAGAGTCGGGAATCATCAGTCCATGGAATCGCACCGCGAAAATGGCCGTCTCATTCTCAATCTCGTACCGTCACCAGTACCGGGCGTCGATAATCAGGATCTCCAGTTCATCGAAGAGGACGAAGGAAATGAGGAGATCGACTCGATTGAAAGCGAAGAAGGAGAAGATTATACAGTTCCTGAAATTTCTTCCGAGAGTTTTACATACGGCGGCGAGGGCGTCGACGGCGGAGTGTTTTGTGATCGGAAACTGTTTTGTGGTGTAAATGGGAATTTAGAAGAACGACATGTCGTCCACAGACATTTCGATTCGACTCCTCTTCGTCCGATAGGTACAGTTATGTGATTTAGTAAAAGATGTGGAAAAAATGCTGTCAAATTCTTGTTAAACTCAATATTATTCTCTGATTACCATAATTATTCACCAACCAAAATAAATGGACGCAATTGACAAAATATAAAAATTAAAAATGTAATTTAACCTAATCTTGTAATACACCATTTTACATTATTATCATTAATCACTTTCTAAATAGAAATTAAAATAACAAAAAGTCCACTTTATCTTGGGGCCTAATGGGCCTGCCAAAAATAACATTGCAGTGGTATCCCTGAGCCCAATAAGCCCGTTTGTGACTCCCCATCCATGGGCTAGGCCCACTAAGAAGATGGGAGAAAAGTGACATGGTTTCATTGCTTTCTCTTGGAAGGTATTTCATTTACTGTACAGAAAAAAATTACATTTAAATAGAAGAGAATATCTATACTTGATAATACTCTCTACCCACTGGTGAATGAATAGTTGCAGAAGCTTTCTTCTTATTTACACAAAACTGTTGCATTTTCACTTGTGCAGATGACTCTATGCTCGTAGCGGTTCGGTCCCTGGAGACGGTATTGTCTGTTGACATCGTTCTTGGAGCTATGATGCAGAAGGTCAAAGATGAGGCCTTTGTTGACATATTTGACCTGAAATATAATTTCAACAACTTGTGAAAGAGACCACTCTAGGAAGCCAAGAAGCTATGAAGGAGAATGCTCCCCCCGGGATGACCACGAGGGTCGATTATTGGCGTTTAGAAGTTTCCTGGATGCTCGGACGTTCTTGACAGTCATCATGAGCTTCTGTCTCTCCCCTTCAACCTCTGCAAACTGAAGGCTTAATTGTGAGTAACGGTCATGCATCTCTCTCAGTTCAGTCTCTACAGTTGTGTACTTTCCCTTTAGATCTAACATGTCTTTGATTAGCTCGTTGATGTCGCTAAAGCTTCGGAATATCGCTTCTTCGTCGCTGTGTTGCTTTAAGAAAGAACTGGACAACAGACCAAAATTTTGTTGAAACCATTAGAATAGTTCAACTTCAAACAATCTAAACAATTGGCCATGGTTGTACTGGATGATGTACCTTTGAAAATGCGTGCTTGGTTTCTTTTTTGCCTGCAACGCTTCGGCAAGCTCGATTTCTAAAGCTAGTACCCTTTCTAATGAATTGCCACGGCTCGAAAATTCCTTGAACAAGGGGAATATGCTTCCTAGTTCTTCGTTCACCTGAAAAAATAAGCACATGTGTAAACGTGTTGAACGTGTTGATTTACACATCGAAAGTTGATAAATTTATGGATTACCTTGTGTAACTGCATCAGTTGATGTTCTAAACCAGGAAACTCAGATTCAGAAGGACGATCTTCGTGAGCAAGCGAGTTTTCGTTTTTCAATCTTTCCAACTGCAAGCAGAATACAAGAGATGAATATAAAAACATCCGAAAATGAACTTGTTTGAGTTCATATCTCAGTATCTCCCTACTAACAGTCCAGGCGCTATTAAACTAAACATGATACGATAAGTCGAATGGAGAAGCATCGATTTTCTTTCTCCAATATGGCTTACTAACCTCCTCATTTAGATGGTCCATACTAAATTTCAAGCTTTGAGCTCTGAAGTTATCATTTACCAGACCCAAATGCTTCGTCTCCTCATGTCGCGAGTCCTCTTGATTCTCAGGAGAGATGTCTTGAAGTTCATCGACACTTCTCGACACCAGAACATCCTGCCATTGACACGAAAATGAGAGTGGTGGTAAGAGTTGCATAACAACAGTCATTTCAGATAATCAGTTTATGTCGAGAAACAAAGCAAAGTACGGTCGATTCGACAATGACATCATATACCTGCTCGGGTTGCCCTTGACCATTAAGGAAAGCATGTGAATCATTGGTCTCATTAGCTGAAACTGATCTTATGCATTCAACGTCTTCACAAGGAGCTGCATTATCTTGGTGTGTGCATTTTCCATCACTGCCTTCCTTGTGCAGGCTTGTCTGAAACTTGTAACTCTCCAGTAAATCTTTCATTAAGTTCAGTTCCATTGAAAACTTTAGTTTATCATCATTACATTTCTTTAAAGAAGCTTCAAGTTCTTGTTTTTCTTCCTTGCAGCATTCAAGACTGATAGCAGAGCATTCTTTTTCGGCCTTCATCAAATCATACGCCTTCTCGACTTCCCGCTTTTTGGAGAGAGCTTCATTCAAGTAACCTTCCAACTCCAAGATCTTCTTTCCCAGTTCTTCATTTCTTTTTATATGAGAAACTTCAGATTTTTTCCTATTTTCAACTTCATTGATTGCATCTTGTAATTTCCACAGCATTTCCTCACTGTGCTTCTTGGACACACACAGCTGATGCTTCAATTCCTGCACCTTTGTTTCATATTGTTCTTTAATAAACGCAATTCTGAGAGACTCTTGCATGGCGTTCGATGGTCCGTCGTTCTCTTTCTTTTCACGAAGTTGGAGGCACTCCGCATCGGCCTTGTCTTTCATCTCCTTCAAGTGAGTAGACAGGTTTTTGAACTCTTCAGTTTTCAATATTTGTTCAGAAAGCTTCTGGGTTAGATCATTACACTTATTTTGCAAGATTACCATCTGATCGCTCATACCTTGGAGCAAGATCACATGAGCATGCTGTTCATCCAATTTCGACCGGACAACCAACAAACTTACTTCCAATTCTTCCTTACAAAGCAACAAATCATCAATCTTTGTTTCACAAGTCCTCAACATTTTCCCCAGTTTTTCAATCTCTTGAGCATGATTACTTCTATCAGCATCAGCTGTAACCTCCAAAAGTTCAGCCCAATTTCGTAATTCCTCGGACTGAGCTGTTAGTTTTTCGTTTCCATCGAGAAGCGTTTTGTTTTTCGAAGCAAAGGCATCCAACTCCGTTTTTAGGGAGTCGAGATTCATCGACAATCTAGCATTCTCTTCAGCTTGGAGTGCTTCATTGACCAAACAATGATTAAGAGCAGTCTCTACACCGAGATACTTTTCCTTAAGAGCAAAAAGGTCTCTTTCTGATAACAGATATTTCTGGGAAAGAATTTCAAGCTGTTCATGATACTGAGATCTTGTGAAAACTAAGCTAATATCTGCAGCTATTGAAAATTCATGCATTTCAGACAGTTGACTTTCCAAACAAACCAAGGAAGAATTCTCTTGGTCAAGATGCTTAAGAAGTTCCTCGGACTGCACTAAATGTTTGTCGACTCTTGATTTCTCCGACTTGAGCTCTAATATCGATTGCTTGAGACTTCCAACTTCGGACATCATTTTCTCGAAATCTAGCAACTTGCAACTCTTCTCATTTAGTTGCTCATCAAGATCTTTAATTCTTTTCTCTAAACTATCTCTGAAACTTTTCTCGATCGTTAATTCATCAGACAATGATTTCGATTCATCTTTTGAACGATCCATCTCCAACTTAAGCTTCATTGATGACTCAAGTAGAGCTTTTTTCTCCTTTGTTAACACCTCGATGGTTAACTTACAGTTTCCGAGTTCTTCATCTACCGACCTCAGTGCCACCACCTCATTTTCAAGGCCATTGTTTTTAGATATCAGTTGTTGCAGTTCATCCTCCACACGATCGAGAACAGACAGAAGTTCTTTATACTGTTCGGTAAATTTATCTCCAGCTTCACTTCTGTTGATATTTTCAGAAACAGTTTCGATTGCAACGTGCAACGTTTCAATCAGTTCACTTGCCTTATCAAATTTGTTGATCATATCTAGTTTTGCACGTTCGAAATTCTCTTTCATGATCAGATTCTCTGATGCTGCTCTGCTTAAGGAGTTTCGAGCCGTATCTCTTTCTTCCATCAAATGTTTGTTCTCATTCATGAGCTGAAGAACTTTCTTGCATGCATCAAGATGGAGATTTTCAAATTGCAAGACCAAGCCTGCTAAGCTGGTTGGCTCCAAGTTTTCATAAACAGAATCACTTACGGAAAAGAGATCGTTCGAGTTTTTGTTATGGGAAGCCAACAAATTATTCAACTTATCATAAGAAAAATCAACAGTACTACGCAGATCCGCCCTCACCGAAACCAGGCAGTCAAATTCAGCTCGAAGAGCTTTCAATTCTTCGTGCAAAGACGAAACCTCATTCCGAAGATTTTTGTTTTCAATGCTTTCCTCCATCATGGAATTTTCTAGCTCTAACTTCTCCAAAAGACAGGATTGATACTTCTCCTCAAAACTTCTATATTCTGTCACTAACGCTTCACATTCCGTTACTTTCTTGGTAAGAACGGAATTTTCACGAGTAACATTCAATAAATTTTCTTCTAAAGTTTCAGTTTTCGATCCCATTTCGTTGTACTTCGAAACAATTGCAGTCTTATGTTCCTTTAGAGATCGGATTTCTTCCAATGAAGCTTGCAGTTCAAGAAACAATAATTCCTTGGACTTGGTTGATAGTTCCAGCTGCTGACTGATCTCATCCATTCTCTCTTTCATAAGTTTGAAACCAGTACTTCCTTCAAGCAAAGTTTCTTGCAGCGTCTTCGAAAATACGTCCAGGTATATGTTAACCAAATGCACTTCAAAGACTTCATCTTCAACCTTTTGATACAACCCTTCCTGCAAGTAGAGAGATCTTTTCAAATCCTCAGAGAAAATACCTCCACTTAAATGATATTTCTTTACCCCTACTTCATGATTTTGACACGGCAAGAGTTTGTCATTAGAAAATTCCTCCAATTCGATTTTCGGGTTCCAACCTATTTCAGAGAATTCCTGACTGCTTGGAAGTAAAGAACCAGTAACTGCATGCTTAATGAGGTTCTCATTCGTTTCGAACATGGACATGACCTGGCCAGATAGTAGATCAAGGTCCTTCTGTAGCTGGTTTGCAGCAATCGAGTAATTTAAGCGTGCCCTTTTCATAGCTGTCTCGGCACAAGTAGCCCTCCTTTCAAGTTCCTTATTGATGGAATCCAAACTCTTCTTCTCTTCAGCAAACTTCATTAACTGGTTACTCATTTCGTGATGCAGTGCTTCGATCTCATCCTTCGAAGCCGTGATAGTATATATACATGTTGCATGCTCATTTCTGAGATTCTGCAGCTCTCCAATCATCTGTCTCTGATTTTCCTCAAGTTCATGAATAAAAGCTTCATAGTAGCATTCCATCTGGTCCATTTTCTGTGCAAGACTCACCTGTTTTGCCTTTGACTCGTCCAACTCCCTTAGAAGTTCAAAAATTTTCCCTTTCATTGAACTGAAGGCGTCTATAGAATTGGGTTCGTAGGACATCAGACCTGGTATAAGACAATGAAGCATGCTATCAGTATGGTAAATGTCTGAATCGAACCCGGTTCCTGATGCCAATATCTGACTAGTTGGG